TCCAACTCTATGATTGTGGTCTCTTCCAACTCTATGATTCTATGATTCATTGGGCTTCCAGGTGTCCAACCCATGCACAGGAGCATCCCCACCAGCAATGCACAACTATGTGCAATGTGCTCATGCGTCCGCGCGTGAGGTCGATCCGTGCACAATTGCACCATTTGTGCAACGCATAATCTTGATGCTGTCTTGAACCGAATAAGAACATTGTGCACCAAGCAAAAAAAAAAATAAAAAAAAATGTCTGTCCACTTCCATGGGAAACCCAGGTTCTCACACGAGACACCAACTTTTCTCTCTCGCCTCAGCTTTTCTTCATGATTTATCGGCATTTAAAAAACAACACGCATTTAATAATTGTTTCTCTTTGCAGCCAAAGTGATTTATAATTGGTTTTTAAAAAGAGAGAGGGAGAGAAAGGTGGTGGTGATAGTTTATAAAACTAACACATACTTCTGCAAATAAAAATGGAAAACAATGAACAATTGTTGCCAGGAAAGAGGAAGGAGTAATTAAAGGGTCTGTCCCTGGCAGAGAACGGGAAAAATCTGTTAATTAAAGGCTAATATTTTTTTGTTAACGGTTGGAGGAGGAGCATTGCCTACAAAGTATGCCAAAATTGGGAGATTTCTGGGGATCAAAGGCTGCAATTCTGTGTCCTACAAAATTTTGTCAATTCTTCCCATTCATTCTCAGCTTTGGCTAGAGATTTCCCATTTAATATTTGTGTTAATTTATCTAACTCAATGACGTCTAATAAACCTATTAGCCATTAATCAATATTTGGCGTCTCTTTTTATTTCCATTTTTCTTTTTTTGCAAAGTTAATTCTTGCTATTGAAACCATATATAAGATTTGTTTCCATTTCTCTCTTGCTTTACAGTCAGTTGTTTTGTCTGTCGTTTTTAGCAAATGCACTTCTGGGGTTAATTTGAAGTTTATTTTAAGCTTTTATATATATGTAAATGAATGTTTTCCTCAAATTCCTTCGTTTTTGGGGCAGTGCCACCAGACATGGATCCAAGATCCTTTTGAAGCTTCACATTTCCAGCAGTTATGGTTTTATATATATATATATATATATATATATATATATATATATATATATATTTGCAACTTTTTTCTGGCGTTAGATGCCAACGGTAAGCCATTTTTAACTAATTTTTTGCAGAGAATGGAGACTCCAGTCAAGAAATAAGAAGAAGTCTAAGAATGGGAAAGGCAGCTATGAAAGACTATGGAAAAGATCCTGAAGAGCAAAGACATACAACTGAGAACTAAAGTCAGGATCGTCCAGGCCACTGTATTTCCCATCATCCCCATGTACGGATGCGAGAGCTGGACAGTGAAGGAAGGAGATAGAAAGCAAAAAAGTGGGAACACAAAGAGAGACCAAATATTAATGAATGGCTAATAGATTCAGATAACAAACAAATGGGTTCTTGAAGAGGTCAAGCCAGGGATCTCCTGGGAAGCAAAGACGATGAAGTTAAAAGACTAACGTACTTTGGGCACAAAATGAGAAGAAAAAGCAACAATGCTAGGAAAGGTGGAGGGCAGAAGGAAGAGCTGGTGTGAGAGCCGGACAGTGAATAGCCTCCCTGGAAGAAGAAGCCAAGATGGCCAA